CTCCTCGACCGCAAGTGGTCCTGTGACAGCCTCTCTGAGGCCACACGTCCTACCACGGGCTCTTCTCACTGACAACCACTCCGTACCTGCACTGCGCTGCCCCACTTCCATCGGTCCCTCTGCATTCATGCTTGAGGTCCCCACTCACGGGACCCACCGTCCACGCCACCCCCCGGCCACGCAACCCCCCTGCATCTCCCCGCGAGCCGCCCGACGCCGGGAGAGGTCAGCAAGGACCTGCAGGGTGAACAAAAGTGCTGGACGACCAGCTCCGGGGCAGGAGGCGCATGGGCAAGCCACCCGCAGGCGGCCGCGGCCGAGTCCCCGCCGGCACGCAACCCAGACCCTCACTGGCTGCAGGTCAGACGCGGAGCTCCAATGCGGGCCGTGGGCTGGCCCCTCGTGCCCCTCCACGCCGGCTCCTGAAGCACGAAGTGGGGGACACCTCGGCACCTGCTGAGTCTGCTGTGCCCAGAGCCTGGCCCCGGAGCTCACCATCCACGGGAGCCGGGATCCGAGGGCCGCTCCAGCCCGTGTAGCGGCACGAGAGCGCCGTGGTCCCTGGGAGAACTGTCACAGCAGATGGCAGTGGGGTCCGCCACACTGCTGGACAGAGCACAGTGAACGGAAGCAGCGCCGTGCAAAGGCCGACCCCGCGGCACGTCCGGGGGCCTTGCTTTCTTTCCAGCTCTCTCTCAGAGGACACAGAGACAATTCCTTATACCTGCTCAGACGTTAGTTATTAACTAGCGACTGTGAGCGCGGTGCCGGCAGCACGTGACAGCGATGCTTTGGCACTGCTCCCACGGGAAGGCAGGGTTTAACTGCCCCCTGAACGTGACAGAGGCTAGGTGACTCCCCAGACTGCAGCAGCACAAGCGCTACAATCACCTGGCTACACACCCCGAAGCCCCCATGCCCGGAGACCACGTGGGGTGACCACAGAGCCCCCGCTGTTGAAGACTTCCCAGCCCCGGTACCAGACACGGAGTGGGAGGCTGGAGGGGACGCTCCAGCCCAGCCCGCATCTGACCAGCCTGAACAAGACCCCAAGCCAAGACTGCCAGCTGAGCTGCTCCGGAATTCTGGACCCCTGAAACCAGGAGCAATAATGAATGATTAATCATGTTTAAAGCCACCAATTTTGGAGATAATTTGTTATGCTGCCATAGTAACCAAAGCAGTGACACTTAACAAGGCAAATGGGGCCAAACACCACTCTCTCCCTGTTGGAAACAGCCACTCCTGCATCACACAGAGGCTAGGAAGACAAAGGACATGGCCACGTCCCCATACTCAGTACAAGACATGCAAGCCAAGTTACCGCAGACCACCAAAATCAGAGAGCGGACTGCACCACAATGAAGAAAAACCATGGCAAGTATTTCCAAGAGGACATAAGGTGGGCTCTGGTCGGCTGGACAGAGGACCCAGGTTCAGGCTGGCCTGCTCACAGGCTGAGCTCTCACAGGCAAGTGGCTTCACCTCTCTGAGCCTGCGTTTCCTTGACTGAAATGAGTAAGAACCACCCACTACGTGAGGCCACAGGGAATCAAATTAAATAACATGCACAAAAATGTCCAAGGTCTTGGTGCACATGTTTAAATTATGACCACTTATAACACATGTGAAAGTCTGTTTTCCTTTAAGAAATATTACTGCGGAAAAAGCTGAAAGGATTTAGGCAAAAATGTGGGTTTTTTTAAAAACCTGTTCTAAAGTTTTTTTTTCCAAATGTTTGCAATGCACCTGTAAAAACTACCTAAACATTCTAGTTCTTTCATCCACCAGTAAAAACAGATGAGCCTCTTTGCATGCCTGTCCCCTGCGCACATGAGCGCACGTGAGCAAATGTCTCTGTAACTAGGAAAGGTCCCAATGAATCCACTTTAAATAAACACAGTAACTGGCACGTTCTCCATTACATATTTCTAGGAGCAACAAGGGACTCATTACGTATTTCCCTGCTGTGGCCCCCAAATCCAGCGTAAGTCAAGAAAACGTAAGGACCCATCCTCAGGGCAGAGCCATGACGATGGCTCCCCTCCACGCCACACACTGCCGCCCTAGCAGTGTGACCCTCGAAGTGGCACCACAGAGTGCACCAGAGGAACAGAGCTCCAGAACCAAGCTCTAAGTTCACGGACATCGAGGGAAAGGAGGGGAATCACCTACCAAGTCATGGGAGGGGGCCAGGGCTGCCACCACCACTGCCCACAGCACAAAGGAGACACCGAAGCGGGAAACGGCCCCCCCTGGAAATTCCCGAGGAGGTGAAATAAAATGAAGACTTGAAACAGAGACTTGTCTGAATCGCTGTCTAGAAGCCCTGTATGAACCAACTCAATTTAAAGAAAACCCACTGTTCCTGAACAATTCTGATTTCAATATCTATTTCAGGATTATAGTCAAGAACTTCAAAATAATCACAGTGTCTCCCCACCTTCTACCATCAGAGCGAGGATGCACTTCCCTTCCGGCCCTGCTGTGATCCGGGGCACATTCAAGAGACAGTGAGGTGACAGCTGACTTGTTTGAAGAAGCAGAATCTATATGCTCAGGTTAATTTCTTAAGTACTGTGAAACGGAAGCACAGTCAAGAAGTCTAACGCATCTTAAAAAGTTCTCAGTGCTGACAGATAGTCATAAACTAAGGAATGAGTCGACTTGAGGTTTTTGGTTTTTTTTTTAAGTATTTTAAAGTTATGGAAGCTCAGACTCAAAGTAGAGGTACCCCACGATACAATGCAAACACTAGAGTCCACTTAAAACGGACTGAGGAATAAACCTCGGATCTGCCGGTGCCCTTGGATTCAGGGGGAAACCAAGTAGGAAGAGCGCAGCTATCCACCCAGCGCGCCCTTCCTCCCCGGTCACAGCGAAAGTCGGAGGGAGACTTACGCCCCTCCAGTCCATGCAGAGGACGCAGCGTGGGATCCACTTCCAAGTCCCTGTCCGTCCACAGGTTGCTGGGCGCGGGGGTGGGGTGGGGGAGGCTAGCCACCCACGCCGTCCGGGTCCACTTTTGGGGTTCCCTTAACGCACAGCTTGTCACGCCAAACTTCCTGCTTCTCTCTCGCTACAAAATGACAAGCACGTGAGCCCCAGGAACGACAAGAGCTCGAATGGGCGACACCAAAGTCGGTTCAACAAGTGGCAGCGCGGCCCAGGCGCGGCCCCTTCCAGCCAGAGTGCGTGGAGGGCACCGGGGTGCGGGCGGCGCGGGGGTGCCCTGGATGCGGGCGGGGTCTCTGGGCGCGAGGTTCCGGGGGCGCGGGGGTGTCGGG